CAGATTTTGAATAGGAGCAGCAGTCCATGACCTGAAGATTGTGCGTGGTTGCCTGATGCAACAAGACAGTTTTGGCGTTGCAATCATCATATCCAAAATCTGAATGTAACCAATTGTACGATTTGTGCAGGACTTTATTCTGTGCACTTAAAACACATCCGCAGCTACAGCCAATTTAGAAGCATCAGTGACGTAATATCTATAATGAGTTTTCCATAACTGCTGTAGCCACCCACACTTTAACAAATTGTGCCTATCTCTTCAAGTTGAAGGACCTACAGTCACCTCGGTTGTCAGTTTAACTGATTGGGATCCATATAGACTAAATGCCTTCATATCTGCCAGACACCACATATTACTCTGACAAGAGTCGCTCAGTCAGTATAATGTCCTTGATTATTGATTAACAATCTTGAGTATTTACAGTGCGCACACTTGTGCTGTGCAACCACATGGTGAGCTCAGCATGTGACAAGATGGTCCTATTTCATTTGAGACATCCTGTTAATGTGGAAGCTGCGGTTGTTTACAGCCTGGCTAATTAAGCTGTTTCTCACTGCGGTCAGATCTCGATACAGTTGTGCACACTGATAATTCCCAGTGTGACCATGTGTCCAGCCCAAAAGAAAGCAGTATGTTTGTGTCATGTAACACACAGGGTACTGTGTGTACCTTTGGAGGGGTTAATTGGAAATAATGAGGCCAAGTCTAACATTCCCGGATTGTTTTAATTGTAACTGCCATCCGTCTAAGCTTAAGCCAATTAACTTAGAGGTTACTCAGCCTCATACTGGGAATCACATTTTCTGAATTATCACTGCCAGTACATGACTCTTCACCAGTCCACGTTCCAGATTCTAGGCAGTTTAAATGATGGCGCTCATCCAGATGATTAAGATAACTCAGTGACTCTAAGCTACTCTGTGGATGTACGCTACGATTACATCTTATCTGAAAAAGCTGGAGAATGGACTGTTCTACATTTGCCATGAAATGTGATTAGAGGTTCAAAGTGTTTGAGAATACGAGGCAGTTTATTTAGAGTGACAGAAAAATAAAAACTAGTACCAGTGAAAAATACCCACCCTCCCCCTACAAAAAAAAAGAAAAAACTGTGGTTGTATTCATAAAAAAAGAGGCTTAATGTTAAAATAAATTATGTGTGGAGACTGAAATAAGTATGAAATGTGATCATGACAAACGTAATACTTTCCGAGAGGGTAAACCGATGGACTTTGGTGCCTAATTACTTCCCTGAGATCTCTTTCTTTGAGCTTCTCATCAATGCTCCAGATATATCTGTGAATATTTAACAGAGTGCTGTGCAATGCCGGAGCCTCTGCTCCCTCTATCAGGGGTTTATAAGATAAGCCGTCTGAACCCATTGCCTTATCGCTAAACCTCATTCTTTATGGCTCTGTAACTAGTATGGCTACATTACAGTCAGAGCATCTGACCTAAAAGAGGAAGAATTCCCCTTCTAAAAGAATCAGAGATATAAAAGAATTGAATGATTCTATTGATTACAGTGTCCACAATTGAAATAAAAGGCAAAAAAGAGAGCGATATTTCACTCTTGTTGCTCCATGTGTGACAAATTATATCAGTTAGGTATCGTCCAGTTTGTTTTTTTTCTTTTATGTAGGACATGCTGTATAATTTGTCAACCCACTGATTCCATGGTTATGTAAACTCCGAGGCTCTTTCATTAAATATTTTTCAGAGAATATGACTATTAATCACAGATGTAGGAGGCCATTAACACCAGCCTCTCCTTATGTGCCACCACAATAGCTTAGATGATTAATAATTGAGTTAAGATGGCATACCATGAAATGCTTCACTTTTTTAAATGCCATATACTGATTTGAACTGAGTCACTTTTGAGCAGATATGAGTGTCCAGGAGGTGTGGTTTACCGCTGACAATGTGCCTTTTTTTCTCTATTGCACAATGTACAAGTGTTGCTTCACGTATGCAGTGAAAAGTCATGCAGCCTGCACTGCAACTTAGGCACAGGGCTGCAGGAATAATAACATTTTTAACACACAGTAGTGATTCCAAACCTTTGAAAGATTTTTGAAACAAGAATCTTTCTGGTTTCTACTTGTAGCCACAACAAGTGGTAAGTTACAGATGAAGTACATTTGCAGAGAAGCAATTTCAAAACACTTTTTTCCGATCGACAATTATTCCGATTTTGGTTATATTTAAGTTAATGTGCAGCACTGTGCAAAAGTGGTCTTGTGCAATGGTTCTCCATGTTTTCTGGATGCCTTTCAGAGTTTTCAAAGTTTTCCTCTGGACATGGTACCATTCTCAGAGGAATGCCCTTTTTGTTGTTTGTTTGTTAAGCTACTTAACTCTGACCTATGTCACAAACACTCATAATTTGTTCCCATTTCATCAGTTGAGTCTATGACAAATGGCAATGATAAGACAGTTTGACAGGCGTAAAAAAGTATTTGTTCACCAACAAGGTGATTCTCAAAGTGCTTTTAGCTGAAGACCTGACAGATCTTGGTATGGTGTGCCATGCGGCATGAAAAAATTTGAGGAAACTGGACAATTTTGTCCAGGTGTAAAAAACTATCTACAGCAGAAAAATGAAAAAACAAATATATTCATATACTGTATTTCCATATCTAAATATACAGGTTCATAGGTTAGGTTTGATTAGTATTTGTATAATCTTTAGAAAATTACTATTACGTCAATATTGAACACTAAGGTTTTATTTTAAAATGCATCAGTCACAGAAATGCATCTGCCTGTTCATTTTCTACTGCTTATCTGAGCCTGGGTCATCGGGTTGAACAGTCAAGACAAAGGTTCCCAGACCATCCTGTCGTCCAACCTCCATGTTTCCCTCTGGGAGACAAAAAAGCATTAAAAGCCAGCTATGAGACGTATACTCCCTAGTGTCTTCTGGGCCTGTCCTCAGGTCTCCGTCCTGAAGGAAACACTACACCTAGTAGGCATCCTTGTTATGCTTCGCCTTCAGGCTCAGCTCTGTCTGACCAGCACCCACACTACTACTACTATCATTCGCCACCCGTGTCTGGGCACTTCACTGTTTCCCAGATCAAACCTTTGACCTCACGCTTGGAGATGCATGGCCACTTTATATTCAAATGCAAGACATCCCACATCCAGCTAGAGGCAACTGCTGGATGAAACCTAAAGGACTACTTCATCTGCAAGTTTTTTCAGTCTATTAATAAAATCGTGAACTAACACCATCAACTCAAAGTCAACATATTCAGTTCTACTCAGGTACTACAATCAAGAATATGATTTGATATGCTAAATATACAGTTTCATGAATTCCTGAAACAAAATGCAAAGTCACTGGAAACAACATTTTCTCCTAAAATGTCAACGAGGCCATCTTTCAGCATTACTGTAAAGCTCCATGATAATTTTCCACTAGCTAGTACATGTGCTAACAGATTTAATCTATTAAAAAAGTTCCAAACTGACAGTGTGTTCTGCTTTCTACATCTGGAATGACAGTCATGCTCACCAAGTTTAGGCCTTTCAAACATCAAAAGCATTTCACAACACTGGCTGTCAGTCAGCAAAAACTGGTTTGTACACCAGTAAATGTCTGTAACGCACCACTATGCTGGGGAAAAACCTCAAACCTGTTCAGAGATCTGAATCTATGATGCTGGAAGATCAGCTGTATCAAAATTTAGCAGAAGTCAGTTTTGCAAAGTTACTTGGAAGTATCTTATCGTTCTTATAGATGCTTCCAAGTAGTTAATATACTTTATAGTGTTCTCATATTATAGTTGTTATAATATAGGAACTCGTGAAATTCTCTATAGTAAGGCACCCCTTGGATCTCCTTTATGAAAATGAAAGGTGATAAGACCAACCCATAAATCGCAGGGATACTTCAGCACAGATCATTCAAATGTAACTGAATTTTCAACCACAGGCTCTTAACCCCACAGGTGAACTCTGAACAATATGATGCTGTAATAAAGTCTGCTTCTTGTCCACGTATTGCCTCTCTAAACCAAGATTAAAAGATATATTAACTGTATCAAAGTGCGTTCAGGGATTGCTATAGTTAGGTCTGTTACATTGCTAGGATTATCACTGAATTCATTTTCCTTTGGATCAGCCCTTCCCCTTGACCTCATTTTCCATCTAAATCAAGGTCAAGGAGGTAGGCTGTCACTTTCGGAGTGTTCAACACTGCATTAATCTCATGTTTAGCTTAGCATGTTTTGCATGACGATTTTAGCAGTAATTATATAATAATAATGGATTGGATTTATATAGCGCTTTTCAAGGCACCCAAAGCGCTCACTCATTCACTCTCACACTGGTGGAGACAAGCTACGGTTGTAGCCACAGCTGCCCTTGGGCAGACTGACAGAGGTGAGGCTGCCATATCGCACCATCAGCCCCTCTGGCCAACACCAGTAGGCGGTAGGGTAAAGTGTCTTGCCCAAGGACACAATGACCAGGTCAGAGAGTCCAGGGATCGAACCGGCGACCTTCCAGTTACAGATACGCTTCCCAACCCCCCGAGCCACGGTCGCCCGTGTATGAATGTTCCTTTACAGTTAAATGGCTTTCCTGCAGCAACTGCACCACTATTTGTGGAGGAATGTGTTTCAGATCTAGTAGTGGGAATTTCCATGTATGGATATGGCAAAGGATTTGTGATTTCCATGAATTTAAAGTTAATTGCTGTATTATCACAGACAGATGTGTAGATGTAATTGCCAACATTCAATAATAGACCGACTTCATCTTGTTTTAACATCAGTTTACCAAATCTGCAGCACTAATCCCCGTTTTTGAAGCAACTGTTTCAGAGCAATAAGTTCATTGCAGTAATTGTAGTTGTCAACCACCCTCTTAAGCTACAGTTACTCTAGTTAAGAGAAGTTACATACTGTCGGTTTGGCCAAAACTGCCAACAGAGCAACACCACTAACGTGAACTCAATTTACTCATCAGTCAAAACAAAGCCATTGTTTCGTAAAAAGAAGAGTTTTATTTCATTTTTAACAAAGCCCAATACAGATTCAAAGCAAAACTGGGGAACACTGGCAATCTCAATCCAATCGTTTTTGGGACGCCAACACCAAAGAGGAGCTTCAAATAAAAAGGACAACAAAACAACAATACTACCCAGAAATGGGGTAAAGAAATAATGGTGCATGTTGTCAGACTTAAGAAAAATTGACAAAGGGAATCAAAATGTTCATGCCAGCAGCTGCTGAGGATCTAAATGTCAAATATGAGACACACCTGTTAACAGCTTTGGAGGAAGGGAGGGGAAGAAAAAAGGAAAAAAGACAACTCCTATAAATGTGTTACATTTAAAGTTGTGAATGAGTAATTTGGTCAAATGTGTTAAAACTAGTCTGTGTGTAAATAACGAAAATTGTGAATTAAAACTAAGCTTTCCTCCGTGGTTTGTACATGTAGACCGTTCCCAAGAGAACAAGTTGTGTCCAAGATGGAAATTAACGTAAACTGTCACGCCAACAAAAAACGGGAAAACTATCAAAATCAGATTCTGTTAATGTCTCTACAACTAGTTTGCTACAGATACGTTCAACAGGTTCACCTGACAGCTGTGATGACATGTTGAAGGGTTACAAAATATATTGTGAGTAATACAGTTTGTGATTTTTTACGTCATAGTTTACGTGGTCTGGCGCACTTGTATCGTAGACTTGTAAAAGCCAAATTTAGGGTGTGGGAATAGAGCACGTGGCTCTTTGTTTTCCTTCTTTTAGGGGTTATGAAATATTATGTTACCGTCTGAAATGAGCCGATCCACCCATGTAAACAGTGATTTTCTGATACAGAAAAAATAGTAAGTGTACAATGCATATTGATCTTTAATAGCAATATCCACCAGTTGAAAACACCAGTCTGCTTTGATATATTCTCATATGGGAACAAATATATTTTATAACAAAATAAATCTATACTGTTGTTTCTGTGATGGTAGATAAGGGTCGTACAATCCCATCAGCCTGACCTTCTTTTAACAAAGAACTGCATGTAGGCTTAGCTCTGTCGGAAATAGTACTTGTGACTAAAGCAGCTCAAATACTCAAAAGGCTCTGCCTGAGAAGAAAACATTAGTTTGAAGCCAAAAAAAAAAAAAAAAGAAAAAAAAAACCCTTTCATCTGTATACCAGTTGTTAAAGTAATTTATAATAAAGTATGTTTCTATCATCTTTAAAAATCATAAGCATTTTTTAAACTGTATCTTGGCATTTTGACAAAATATCCTCTTGGATATTTACACAGGAACAAAAAATACTTTTCAAGCACTAAAACAAGCTTATATTGTGGGTTTGCAACAGAATAAAACAATTCTGAAATAAAAATGGAGAAAGGTTTGCATAGCAGATCAGGATACAACTAAAGAGGAACAAATCCTTTTTGGTACGAGTCATGACTGCACATTTTCACATATGTACATGAAAGAATAGTCCATTCATAGTTTCTCCCTGCCCACAGTTCAAATCAAGTTTACGTATGCACTGTAATGCTCATCAGTGAGAAGGCAGAATGTGGGTACTTGTCCTCTCTGCTCTTCTAATAAAAGTCCATAGGAGTTTCTTTTGTGAAACTTTGTTTTGTTTTTTAAAAAGTGCCATTTTGCTACATTTGTCAGCTGATCCATGGTCTGCTACTGAACAGTTAATACAAGCAAAGTGTTACACAGCCCTCCAATATCACAGAGTTTCCTGATTCTATGAGATTTGGTCACATGGACAGTCTCACACACACACACACACACACACGCACGCACACACAACAGGGGAAGAAGGGGAAAAAGGAAAAACAAAATTTGTAGCCGGTGAGTTCTGTTGCGATTTGATAATCCAGCTGGTAAAGCTTTTGGGAACAGGGGGAAAAAACAAAACAAAAACAAGCACCATAAGGAGAAGGCCTCAAATGTCCTCCGCTGGGCGAGTTCAGCAGTGTTCGCTCGATTCTGTGCTCCCACAAAAAGCAGAAAGGGGGGAAGAAAAAAAAAAAAAAAAAATCTACATTCAGACTCGCCTCAGGCTCATGGTTTAGGCAAAGTCACTGAAATGTTTCAGGCTTTGTTGTGTCTTTTCCTCCAACTTCAAGTCCGAGTCCGGCTATCGAAGCCTTAATCATGGTGGTCGAAACATGTCTCCAACTTCCATGGGGCCTTAATCGTCAATATGGATACGTCCGGGTCCTCATCGTCTCTGTTGAGCGTACACAGGGTACGCTAGTGTCACATTCAGAGAGTCATTGTGCTGGACCAAAGACGTGTGCTGGTAGTGAAGAACGAGTTCTTTTAATGAGTTGTACAGGTTATAAGGTTCAGCGAAGCCGTACCCTGTGGGGGTCTTGTTGATGACGCAGTGTTTCACCTCGCCGTCCACACTGCAAAGAGAGGACAGGAGTCACAACCTGCTGTGATGCTCTCCATCAACTTTAAAAGTAGTTCATTCAGTGGTGGCTGAAGCCGTAACAGCAGGAAGACATTTCAACGCTAAAACTACAATTCTTTGCTACGTAACAGCCAGATACGTACACCACACTGCAGGCGTAGCATCCCGCTTTGCTGCTGTCTCGAACCAGGAATGTTCCGTCTCTCTTGCCCTGGAGGATCGCCTCCGCCTGTAAGCGATTGATGTTGCCCAGCTTCCAGGTGCGCTCATCATGATGAGGAAGGTCTTCATCATCGTCCACCATAGAATATTGACTAAAAACACAAAACAAATATAAGTTGTCATGAAAAATGCACATTTTTTTGTCCAGCGAGTGGATGATTGACACTCGCTAACTTACTCTTCTGTGCTCTCGTTCTTGATTCCCAGCCACTCGTTGAGTTTTTTCTGCCTGACTCCCTTCTGGGTCAACCACCTACAAAGAGAAAAGTCATGGACATTAGAAAGCAGGACAGACCAATTTTGATTTCCCTCAGAGGGAAGACTAGTTTCCGATGTAGCCAGGATGCTGTTCAGGCATTGCACTTACATGAGATACTGGTCTCTGGTCTTGCGGAGCTGGATGAGGTCAGGCTTGATGCTGTTCATCCTCTTGTCGATCTCCCTGTAGTCTGCTGCCTGTTTCTTCAAGTCTTCTTCCAGCCTGCGCTTGCTGTCTACTATTTCACTAATCCTCGATTTCAACTTCTCATAATTTCCCATGATCCTGGAAGGAGAGGGAAAAAAAGGATGAGTTCTGAGCAGAGCAAGCATTTCGTTATCAGCTGATGCACAACAAAGTGTGGTCTGTTCTTACCTCTGAATCTCTTTTTCATTGCCTTCTCTCCTGAATTTCTCAATATACTCCTTGCTGTAGCGCTCTTGTGTTTGGCATTGCTCCTCGAATATTTTGATAGTTTCATTGAAAGCCTCTATCGCCGTCCTTTTCATTTGGATTTCCTGCGAGCAGAAGCACAGTGTTAAGCACTTGACCTACAAACACTGCAGTAACACTCTTGATCCTAGGTGTGGGGTGGTACTCACTTGTGATGTTCTGGTGTACTCTTCATAGAGACGGTCGTACTCTTTGTTCTTTTCTTGGTATTGCTGGTGGTACTCGCAGAGCTTCCTGCCCACAGCTTCGATGTTGTCCTCTTTTACCACTTGATCCTGAAGAAAGAGTCACAGTCAAATACAGAAAAAGTTGAGGTTCAACTGCTTTAAACACGCAGGTGTTTTAATTCTGCTGGGATGCGTTGAGCTGCCACCTCACCTGCTGGTGTTTAGACACGGGGTACAGCAGCTTGACGTCTAGCTTGGGGTTGTACTGAGCCAGGGACTCGTTGCGATAGTGGTTGATGAGCTCAACGACTGAGTTGAAGGTTAGTGGATCAGAGAAGCCATATTTGCCATCTCGATGGAATATCTTGATAAGCTTGTTGTTTCCTCCTTTCCTGTAGACGAAACAGCAGTGGCGGTTAAACCAACAGGTCACTAACTACAAATGGATAAACAGTCAATTTGAGGAAACAGAGGACAAGACACTTACCTCAAAGTCAGAGTGTAGTCTCCGTGCATTTTTGTCGAGGCGTCCCGCACCAAAAACGTACCATCTGCAGTGTCCCTCAGTTTCTCATTGACCTCCTCCCTTGAGATGTCTCCCCAGTACCATTCAGCATCTTGTAGCGCCATGTTGTTGTTCATACCGTTGTTAATCACAGATGTGGGCTTGGGTGGCTTTGGAGGTAGAGCTGCAGGAAAAGGCAGAGAACACAGAACGTAAATAAATCGACTACAATGCGATTAGGCTTATGAGTGTTTGTGTTAAAATAAAGCTCGAGATCTGGACATTTTAAGGCAGATTTTTAGGGGAACGCTTGCACTGCCTTTAAAATGTTTACTTGATCTTCTTGTAAATAATTAAAAATACAAAAAAAAAAATTGCTCTTTGAATTTATTTAATATTTCAAAAGAATGAACCCTCATCTGGATAGCACGTAAGCACACATGCTCGTTTCGCATGCATCCTTTTCCATGAATTGGGTTGTGGGGAAAGGAAAAAAAAAAAGGCTTCCCATGTCCAGCAGAGAGGCAGCATTGGTGAGGCAGTGGGAGGAGAACTGAAGCGTGAGTCAGGGAGAATGAATTTCATTCAAGAAATGGAGCCATCTATAAATATTTCCAGCTCCTAACGCAGCAGTGAAGCCTTTTTCATGCAGGAAAAAAAAATGCAGAGAGAACAGCAGAAAAAGATGGCTGCACAACATTTTACAGTAAAATAGGACAGACTGAAATCCTAATGACCCTTTAAGCCTTTACCAGCAGGAAAGGCTGCGCTTTAACGCAGGATAACCAGATTCTCTTCTACCATCAGTAAATCAATTAAACTCTTAAAGCTGGAGCTCACCGTGAAGCTACCAGTAGCAGAGATAAGGCAGTCGGCTATTTTTAAACCCCACAAATCTGCACTGCTGTTGTTCGCTGCCACTGCATTCACAACCCTCCTGCTGCAATGGACCTTGCAGAACTTTGCATGCTGAAACCACAAGCACTGTGCACACAGCTACAACCGTGACATAGATTTCAAATGTTTCCATTCTGCGCAAATGCAACCTACCAATCCGACCACAGCGCTTCTCTGCATACCGCCTGCCTTCCAACCTGATCACACTTTGTCTCCAGATTACTAGAAATTTCTAACTCGTGTGAAGAAACCAGGCTTCTAAAACCAGAGCCAAACACCTCCACAGACAGACAACTTGCGCTGATCTAATCTCGCCTCTGCTCCACACAAATACTTTATTACAGCCACTTAAACACGTACTTGAAAAGCCATTAAGGGCAGCTTGCTCAGTAACGTGTTACATCACTTACCACAGCCAATCACACAGGGGGTCTGTCACCAACCGCTCCTGCATCTTTCATTTCCTGTGAGCGATGAGGTCATTGTAAAAGTGTCGCCTTTTTAGAACTCTAAATAGATAACTGAAACGACTGCGTCTCTGCATCAACCAGCACTGCGTCCCGGTGTGCATCCATCTGCGAAAGCAAGCGCGCCGCATCTCTCTGCTAGCAGAGGAGAGAGAAAGGACCTGCTCCCTGTTCCATGCTTCTCCTCTGTCATCCTCTCGCTCTCTGTTCAGCTTGTCCACTTGCTCCCCTGCAGGTTACTCGGCCCCTCCTCCCCGCGAGTGTCGTGCGGACATTTAGTCCGTCCCACTGCTGGCACTCGTAAAGCCTACTCTGCTGCAGCAGCACGTACGCAGCTAAATTATAATGCCTGGCCCGGTCAGCGGCACCCAGAGCTCCAAAATACGTCTATAATCCCACAGCGTGACGCTCAGCACGACAGGGATAGCTCCCTTGATTTCCTGAGTGAAATTAAAATAGCCCCAGTTCTTGGTAAAGGTAGAAGATTCAAGTGAAAGCAATCGTTGTCCTTAGTTCAATTGAGGGACAGTTGGTGGAAATTTTAGACGCTTAAGTTATATAGTTCACATCAACTACAAATGAGGGAAAAAAAGAACAGGTTTTAATGTTTGAGTAAGACCTAAGTGAACAAACCTGTTCCACCGCACTTTGATAGAAAAAAAAAAATACAACAGTGGATTTAAAAAGACTTTAACATCAACTAGCCATTGTCCACCATAGCTATAAACTACTTAAATGTTCAAGAGCCTCTTTTGTCTGATCTTAATGCAGAGGTTCATGCGCACTCTCCAAGTATGGCCCATAACTCATAAGCATGAGCAGTTGCCCGAGGCAAGTTTGCTGCTAGCAAAGATTGAAGTCTTACTAAAACAAACCTATTATTCCTGTTCTGTTTTCTAAGCTGTGACATTTGTGTCTTAATCTTACGCACGAGGCCCATTTCGTTATAGCCTGAAGGCAAACGCAGCAGAACACACAATGTTCCACTTTTGACACCTTTATAAGACAAGACCTGAAACATCAAACTTACGTTGCAAGTTGTGCATGTCTCGAGGAATCAGTTCTCTCTTCTTTGCAGCTTCTCTTTTATTCCAAAACAATAAAGTAAATCCAACAGAGTTAGTTTCAAGTCCTTCTGTAAAGCTCCATTTCATAGTTTAGACCAGTGAGTACATGGTCTGTTTTAATTCTTAAAAGGTCACGGCTTTGTGTGCCTCTTAATGAAATCCAGGTAATCCGCTCGACGTGAAGCAGGTGCCGCATGCGACTGTCTCACTGACTGACTGCTCAGTTCCTGCTGAAGGTGCGGTAAAGGGCTGAGTCTCTGTCTTTCCCTTTCTGAGCCCTGTGAGGCGGAGGCCTGCTCACGTGTAGTCACAAAGTTAATGATTAGCAGGAGCCGCTCCAGTGTCGATGCAGCCTGTTCTGAAAGCAGCCACTTGTGCCAGCTGCGTTGGTTTGTGTGTCTCTCTATGCTCTTTGGTCACTCCCTCTTTCTGTTTGTAAAGGCGGAGGCTTGGGGGTGGGGGTGGGGAAGGAGGGGGGCAGTCTTATGATTAACTTGCAAAGTTTCAAATATTTGCTGAGTTGAGCACTTTGAGACAGGGAGGACATGTGGACATCCACTGAAGGGGGAGGCAAGTGGCCCTAGAACTACAAGCAGCCCTGAGTTAACAAGAAGTGCTCTGTGGAGCAGGCCGACTTTCCAGCCAACCAAATCTAAGTGGGCCTTTTGTCGCTTACTTAAAATAGGAACGCAGTAACTGGGAGGCACACACACACACACACGCGCGCATACAGGTCATTCACAGAAATGCATGCATGTTCCGTACATGTGTGTTTAGAAATTAGGTTATTTACCCGTACTATTTGCATTAGACAGGTGACTGAAACCAGTCTGGCCCGACTAAACATTGCCATGTGTTACACTGGGTACAGTCTTTATGGGTATGTGCAGAACCAACAAAAAGCATTTCGGGGTTTCTCTCTTGCCTGCCCGACCATTCAGTCAGCCATCCATCAAGCCTACAGCCAAAGAGCTCCCTGCAGGTGCAAATCACTGACAGCTGAGAGCAGACCATGCACAGGAGCGTTATAAATAGTCCTAACAGGTAATAAAAAGTTTAAGCAGCCACAGTCAGTGCTGGGCCTGCCAATGACACCGCTCCCAACTAGAGCTGTAAAAACAGAACTGGCATGCAATGCTCTGCTGTCTCAAATCACCAGACCAGCTTTGTCTGTATGCAGTCCACTGCAGTAACGCGAACAAAATCAGACTTGCACGAATCTGTCATCTATACCGTTGGAGGCACATGCTACATAACAGCAAAAGCCAGAGGAGAGACGAAAAAAAATAAAAATGTGCTCCAAGAACCACCCAGAATCTTACTGAAGATTTTACATCACAAATTCCCCAATGTTCATATTCATGAGGCTGACAAAAATAAAGCTAGACAGAGAAATACTGTTCTAACACAAGTTGCTACTTTGTAGTCATTAAATTCCAGTGAGAACCTTTTACATAATACATAATACCATTTCATTGCATATAAAAAAAATTTAAAAAAAAAAACATTCATCTGCAACATGGAAATATGCTAGTTCAGAAAGAAAACTTTTCATGCTTTACAAACTGAGCAGACCTAATTCAAACCACTCCACAAAGACTCAACTAAGAACACTTGTTTCTACTAATAAGCACATGCTAAAAAAAAATCAACTCGCTTTAGCGCCATAATATGAGTAACTTTCCAATCACTGGGCACTTTGTGGTTCCCTACAACTGCAGCAGCACTAAGTCTCGACCCTCCTCTTCAAGCTATTAATAGCTCAGGTCTCAGTCAGTGCTGTGCACAGTCAATGCAGAGCAAACATTTATGCTCTCCTTTCAATGTAAATCCTGCACAAGTTCCTTACAGCTTTCAGTTAGATCAGTAATGCAAAGCACAACATCCTTTCCATCTACTTTTCCTTTTTAACTGAATGCATTTTTTTTAACAGTTTACTTTCATGCCCTGAGCACCCACAGTAGTAGGAACAGCAGTAGTTTTGTGATGGGTGAAAAATCAAGCGAAAATACAGCAGTCAATTACCTGGTGCAGCTTGACTGTCACTCCACTCACTGGTCACCAGAACCTCAATGATCTTGATGTGAGAATCCAGACTGGGTTCACAACTGTGAGGGGGACAAAAAAGCAAGGTAAACAAAGTTTGTTTCAGAGCCAAGGTGACAGTCACTGCTGCTCTGTGCGGTTTTCAATCAGATAGCAATTCAGGCTTAGCTACTATAATTGCACAGCACAGCTGGTAAGCAGAAAAGCTCCAACCTACATCCGTGTACAGCTAAAACACATGAATGTGTGATACACTGCAGTGTGTGTCTTGCCATTTCTTGACTAAGCCTGCATGCTTATCTGTTTGCTGACTGAGTGCCTATCTTTTACAAACCAAAATATGCAGCATAAGCCTTACACTCCCAATACCCACCTGGTGGCCTGTTGTCTGAAAAACACAGGGCTGAAGATCTCGCCCAGCGATCTGGCACTGAGCAGGTTCTTGGAACCGTTTTGGCACACTCTAGCAAAATGCCTTAGCAGACAGTGGAGAGTCAGCCAGTACTGGGGAGGCCGGCCTGGGGCGCTGGCAAAGCGACGTAGTAGCTGGGCACATTCCTCAGGATTCACCACCTCTGTTGAAGATGAGAATAGCCAAAACGTTCAGGAAGACAGGAGATAAAGTGCCCTACTTTAAAGTCTTCTGCAGTTAAAAAGCAGCACAAAATGAAAGCTCTCTTTACACAGTAAAGAAATGGAAAAAGGAGTCATGTGCAATAAAGACTTGGAAACCGCAGAGACACTGTGTGGTTGACAATGAGCATAAGGTACACTGGCAGGTGATTGGCTGCTCAGAGATGCTAGAGATAAACTTTCAGGCTTGTTTTAGTTCCTATTAACCGCAGATATCCTGTTTCTGGCCATGTGACAGCAAGAGAATGCAGCGCGGCATAACACTGAGAATTTCTTCTTTTCCCCTCTGCTTGCAACAGACAGCAAGACTAAGGTTAAGGAAATGTGCTAAATTACACAATTAGAAATAAATACATAGATTTCTATTTCTTATTTTCTTAAAGGACCCATAGATGTTTTAGAAAATAAAAGCTAATTTTACACAAACAAAAAACAAAGAAAAAAAGTCCTCAGACACAATGGGTACTGATGAGGTCTTGTGGTTTAGTGTTCATGAGTACATGATGTTCAGCAGCAGGGCACGAGTACATTACGTCAGCACTTCTCTTTAGGCCAACCTGTACAGTCAACAAATGACCACTGAAACTGTGAAGGAACCTGCTGTTCTCACCTTTAGCACTGTGAACCATCTGAGCATATATTGCAGTGGGGATGATGGGTTGGGGAAGATCCTGCAAGTACCTACGCAGACCGTCACACAGGACTGGAAGCTCCAGGTGATCCAAGTCTGCAGATGGGGGGTCTGAAATGCAGAACGGCACAAAGACGCACGCTTGAACTCACTTCAGTAAAGTTAGGTTTAACTATAGCACAGACTCTTCTGGGCCAACAGACTCTTATGCACACACTTAGAAACCTTTTTTTATGCACCCCACTCATTTTTTCCACTCAGACTTCCTCTTCATATAGGCTTATAAAACACATGATAAAAAGAGCTACTTACCACAATCAAAATACTGCCTGACTTCAAGTCCAGCACCAGCAGTAAATGTTCTATATAATGTGGGGTTATCCAGACCTACAAAATAATTAACGAAACATACTGTAGAAACATAACATGCCAAATAAATGCCAACAAAAATATGAAATTGATTCAGTCAAGCTCACCTTTCCTCTCAATTGCTTCAAGCAGTTTGATCAAAATGGGTGGAGCAATCTCTGGAAGGGAAAACTGCTCCGTCAAGTCGGGCAAGAAGAAACCTAAAGATCATTAAAAAAATAAAATAAAATATTTTTTGAATAAATAAAACAAGCAATTTCAGTTTGTGTAAACGGAGTGAAAATCCTCCCACCAAGGCTTAGTACAAATCCAGCGTCATACCTGTGAACCAAATTACTCAGTCCAATAAATATGCTGGCACCACACAATTTGCTAATAACAGTTGAATAATTCCATTTTAGCACCCCTGCCCTTCCCAAAACACAAAAGCCAGCAAAGCAAGAAGAGAAAATGTTTCTACATCCAACCTATGCTTTCCAAATCAAACAACACCACAATCACGACCAAGACAATCAGTTGCCCTATGCTGTTGGCTGTTTGCAAAACAGACACGGCTTTAAGGGGATTTCACTAAGCTCATTTCTTCGAGGTGAGTGCTGACAATGGCTGGTTTTACTTTCAAAACTGAGTCCCACACAGCAGAATTTAGTTACACTTTTTGGAGATTGTTCTATTTTTTTACTCTTATGCTACTGTACCACAACGAATTCCCTTTGTAAGATCAAAAAAGTATCTATAGTTTATGTGTAACCAAATAAAGATATCAACTGGCCAGTCAGTTAAATACAGTTAATCCTGTGATGACTGTTCATGTGACCTTAAATGGTAAGGGGCTGCCATTCATCTGAACCAGCAAAGACTCATTAGATTCTTGACTCCTCAGAACTTCAAAGGAAGCAGGTACAAGACCAATGAAGTGGCTTCAAAAGTAAAATGTGAGTATTTATAAAAGGCTGTTTCAACAGGAGGTACTGAGCACTGAAGTTAAGGTTTGGCAGACCAAGGAACTAAGCAAATATCCTGTGATATGAGGTAAGCCAGGTCTGACTTTTTTTTAAACTTATTTTTCCTTCAGAACTTTGCACCCAGGTGTGGACATGAAAGCAGGAGGGGAGTTGGCAAATCTAAATAAAATCTTCGCCAAGGCATATTTTGAAAAGGCTTTTTTCCTGAAAGGCTCAACTGTTCAACATCAGGTCTGCAGTTTCAAAATGCTGCAAAACTATGAATGGGACCCTTTCTCTTAACATTATTTTTTCTTTCCACCTAAAAGTGATTACTTTTTTGAATCAGGCATTAAAAGCCAAGTACTGGTGTGGCTAATACATAGACGCATAGGGGTTATTGAAAAGCTACCCTTTTGCATGAAAGAGGGTTCAGTCAGTTAGATAATAAATTCTGAACCACATTCTCTGGCTAGGGCAGGACCCAGGCTGCCTTGTTGTGTGTCAAGTACATGTATTAGTAAAGCCTTTCAAACCAGAGAACACACAAAAATCCACTTTGGACAACTGGTCATCTGGAAGATGTTATTGGAAATTCAAGCTGAAAGGGAATGGAGGGGGGAGGAAGGTTTCTCAGAAGTTGGTGTTCCATCTCAGACTTTGCAAAGTTTCCTGAAATAGAGATCGAGACATGCAGTGCAGCCATCACACACCTTGGAAATGTAATCTTTCTCCCAGACAAGATATCCAACACGATCTTCCTTCTACAGCCAAAAGGTTTTCTGAGAAACCAAATTCACAACCTGAAGTTAAATTTAGAACACCGACCCACCCGTTGTCACAATGTTCAAAAAGCACATGACAGCACGATGCCTGGAATTTTTAAACAATAAATCACAAATATGTATAAGGAACAAGCAAATTTTCACACATTTACTTAGATTAAAAAACACTCAACACTTGAAAATGATTAATACATTGATATACAAACAGCTGCTCGTACTTCTGCACAGCTTGGAAACAAACCAAAAAACAAGGAGAATCTTCCAAGTGATCCTTCAGCCTATTTATTCCTACCACAGTCAGCCTCTGAGGGACACGGGTCAGGAAGGATATAGAGTTGCTTCTTGGTACTGTCGACAATGTGATAGTTTCGGCACCAATGGAATTGTATCAAGTAGCCGAAGAAATATGGCGGAAATGCTACAAGGTATCAGTGATGATTTCTGAGATGCCTTGGCATGAGATCAAGGCTCAACGTGCCCATACAGGCCAAACCACAGAAACATAAAGGGGAAAGGAAAAGAAAGAAGAAGAAACCTATAATTGATGTGTTCATGGAAGGCAAATTAACTCTAGAAAAACTTTGTAAAAATTGGTAATAAGTAAAAATTAGCTACAGTAAAAGTTATCCATTTCTTTTCTACTGCACATAGGTATACCTAACTGTGATAATGGCACAAGGTGAATGCAGGTTCTGCAAAACTCCTTACTGCAGCTTATGCAAACTGAATCTCCAACTCTCTCTGGAAAGGTAATTTTAATTCTATTAAACAAACAGGGCCCTCTATGTTTTACAGTAGCATTACGGCACTATTAACACAATGTGCTGGCATTTTGCTCCATTTACAACAGCTGACAGGCTACACTTCCTCAGACTCTCTCCAAGACTTGAATAGAAGCTGGTTTCTGTGGTAACTAGGGTATGGAGACAGAGGCCCCTTGGACGTGCCTCTACACGTCTGCATGTTTGGCAGACCTCATGATATCCCCCAAGGCCTCAGCCCGTCAGTAGTCAGTTAGACAACCGCAGGCTGAGGAAGTCGATGCAGCTGCCACTGGTTCTGCTGTGGTGTGGGGAACAATCTGTCCGGCTCAAACGGCACGTCTGAGCCGAAAGGACTGTGGGCAGAACAGAGCTGGGGCACTACCAGTGCACTAAAGATAGCGCTCACTTTGGATAAATTTAGAAGGCCTGCTCAGGCAACCAACGTTTTAAGCCTATACATTTCTTCTCGTCTGGAAAAAAGGTCTAGCCAAAGCACATTGGTGATAGATCACCACCTAACACATTTTAAAGTAAAAATTGTGCAAAATGTACAAAAAAAAAATTCAAAGTTGTTTGTCTCTACAGTAGCATTTAGTAAGACTAGGTACAGCTAGTTTATAGTATTACCAAAACCTAAAACCTTTGCAATGCCAAATTCTCTGGATTTTCTGTTGGCATGGGCAGCACTAACATGTCTGAGCATGACTGTGCTGAATAGTGAAGCCCTGAGCTGAATTAGGAAAAAGGGCAGGCAATGTCTCCTCCTGCAGGCTGGAAGATGAAGTGCAAAAGCAAAGTAACAGCCAATGAGGAGACTGTTG